GGGGGCGGCCGCGGAAAGAGAGCAAAGGAGGGCGGGAGGCGCGCGGGGCCGCCGGGAGACCGCGGCGCCCACAGCGCCCCCCAGCGGCTCGGAGGGCGCCTGCAGCCGCCCGGAGGGGCGGGGCTCCGAGCACTCGCCCGGGTCCCAGCGCCCGCCGACACCACGTTCCCCCGCTGCCGCAGGGCGCTGCCCGGACCCAGGGGCCGGATCCAGCGCTGGCTCCGGGCTGCAAAGTCCTCAACACCGCTCTGCTCCGCCGGGTTGGGCTGGAGCAGCCAAGGAGAGAGGTCCCACGCCAGGCTCTGGCTGGAGGAGGACGCAGAGCACCCACAAACTCACAGCACCCACCAGATGGGGTCCGGCCAGCCCAAGATGAGGGGTGGCCAGCCCAGGGCAGTCGCAGAGTTACTGACCCTGCTGGGGAAGGAGCCCAAAGCCCCCCCGGCCTCCCCTTCAGGGCATGGGGCACCCAAGGGTGTCCGCTGCAGGCACCCCAAGTCCTGCTCAGGCCTCTGAAAACCCAGCTGCAAGCAGGATGCCCCTGGAATCCATCTCCCCTCAAACACCACCCCAGGAGGGCATCACCCCACCAGACAGGGGTGGGAGTGCACATGGGGGCAGGGGACATTCCAATTAACCTCATTAACTTGCCACTCAAATAAAGGAGCCCCAGCTGGAGCCTAGCAGCTGCTCCCCCCCTCCCCACAAGGCAGCCCCTGAAGCAGCCTTTGGTAACTGGTACCTAAAAACATATCTCCCAGCAGAGCACTCCCCTCCCACCAAGTCACCTATGGCATCCATACATTCCCCACCACACAGGGCTGAGGCTCAGCTTCTCCCACCTCTTTCAAACCCGAGAGCTGAGGACAAGAGACCCAGCCCTTCTCCAGGTCCCAGAGATCCCGCACAAAATGCACAAGCAAGGAACACGAGAAGGTTTGTTGTTTGTTTTTTTTTTTGCTGCAACGTGTTTATTATGTGCCAAAAACTACACCACAGCTTACTCCACGCATCTGTAGGAGAGTGCAGTCTTGCCTGCATATACTACAATGAGGTAGAGACTTCACACACAGCTTCACGAAACCCCACAAAGAGCAGCTGGGATATGCAACAATGCAACATCAGCTCAGCAGGAAAAAAAGAGGGAGAAATTATGACACTGGTTCTTTGGCACACAGCTTCCGATAGAGGGGAAAGTAAAAAAAAAAAGTTCTCAAATCCCAGCAGCAGCATTTCAGTCGACTGCACCATTACTCCGTACATTTCATAAAGGAAAGGAAAAGTACTTGTCCCCTCTAAGAGAAAGGGCTCCTATGAACCTTCATCTGTCCACCGAAATGCAGCCCTTTTTTAGCTAGTTACAAAAGAAAAGTAAGTCCTGTGACTTTGTGTGATTAAAAACCTCTATCAACCCCCCTTAAGTGCAACTTAAAAAAGTGCAACAAACTATTTAAAACTATATACAGCAGCTCAGAGATCGTTTATCCGGTCCAGTTTCAAATCCAAAAAAAGCCCATCCTGTTCTGTTGCAAACCCCTCGATTTACAACTTTCCACCAGCAGCCCCCAGACAAATTGCAATAATGTTAAAAGCTGCCAGGAAAGAAAAAAATCTCTCTTTTCAAACGACTTAAAAACTGTTTAAGAGTGTAAAAAGGAACTGGTAAAAACCCTTGAGCGTAAAATATGAAATATGATTTGGTTTAAATGAAGAGCAAAGTCTCCTTGTTGTTACAGTAAAAAACGCCAGCTGAACATTCAGTTTTTTATGCCGTTCAGATGGGGGTTAAATGAATGGAAAGGCACTGTATGGCAACTGCAAAAAAATGGAGCCAATGAGACCTGCATTATTACCATCAGTATTGCAAGGAATGTAAAAAAGCGCCTTTAATAAATAAAAAACCTAGGTGAAGGCATCTGCATAAACACCTTCTCAACACGTGGCCCTTTTTTTTTTTTGCTTCTCATCAGCGAACTAGGAACCAAAGTCTGGGAACTGCAGAATCGCTTGAGGGGCGCTCCCCCCCCTCAAAAAACCCCCAAACAAAACCCGACAAAATTCACTGTGCATTAGTGCAGAAACAAAAAGACCAGCAAGTGCAAACGTGAATGTAAGATTTTTTTTTTTTTCCCCATTAGTCCTCAGGAAGCACGTTCCCAGCCTGGGTCTGGCACCAGCAGGCACGCTCGTGCGCTCTCCACTTGGCAGGTTAACAAAAGGACTTTCTCCTGCGCCTGCGGCAGCCCCCGAGCCTCGGCGGCCTCTTTAGCTGGAGTCTCTGTTCTTCTGGTTGCGCATCAGCGGGCGGTGGTGACGCAGGACCTCCATGGAGTGCTGCCAGTGCCAGCAGGAGCGACAGAAGTACTTGAAGCAGATCTGCGGGGAGAGCAGAGGGGCAATGCCATGGGGCAGGGGTTTCCAGGCAAGGCAAACGGACACCGGCCCACCAGCAAAGCGGCATCCCCTCCCTCCCCGGTTTTGCAGCCCACGCCAGCAGAGCGGAGCTTCGAAGCAGAGGGAGGGAATTTCAGCAACACTGCCGGAGGGAGTGGTGTGCTGAGCTTCCAGCGTGGCTCCTTTTTAAAAGAGCTGAAAAAAATCAGGATCTGGGTGCTTGCAGGCAGGGGCCGTGGCACCTCTGCCCCACACGTGGGCAGGGACAGGGGCAGGCGCTGGGCTCTGCAGGCACTCGCTGCGCTCCCACTGCCATCCCTGCCAGTGGAGCAGAGCGCGCTGCTGCTCACCTCCCATCTAGACTCCACGGGAAGCTGCTGGACCCTGGCTGAGCTCCCTCGCCTGCAGCGAGTGGAGGTCAGCCAGAGTGCCCTACATTTTGGGCAGGTCCAGGACCAACTGCAGGGTGATGACACTCCAACTTCCAGCTGTCACAGCTCACAGAGCAGCAGCCTCCCCTCAGGGGCAGCCCACTGCACACAGTGGGCCCTGGCACTCCAGCACAGCACCAGCAGAGCCATGGCATCCCCAGCTCAAGGCAAGGTGGAAAGCTGCCTTCACCTCCTGGCGAGCACTGGAGCTGGCCCCCCCAGGAGGGCTGCACCTCCTCCAAAACAAGGGCCCACCTTGGGCTCTCATGTGAACACTTCACCCTCTCCACTCAGCAAGGGACAACAGGCCTCCCTAGACACTAAAGCGAACGCTGCTGCAAGCAGCGGAGCCTGCTCCTCCCCAAGGAAACCCTGCTGTGTGCGGCAGCCGAGCACAGTCAGCAGGGGAAAGCCTTACCTGGTCTCTGCAGAAGAATGGGCCGGGCTGGGTGCTGCAGACTTGGCACATGGAGTCCTCCAGGTATGGGTCAATCTGAACCTGCAGAACCAGGCAGTGAGCACAGAGCAGCCCTGAGGGCAACTGCCTGCTCCCTGGACCACCCTAGCAGTGCTGACTCACTGCCCTGGGTACCCCAAATCCATCACCGGCACCCCTCACAGCTGGCAGAGCAGCAGTTCACCACCTCCCTCTGCCTCCACAGGGATACGGGGCAGGCCGTGTGGGTCGTGGTCCACCCAGCAGTACCACCCATCATGCACAGACTCGACTCCCCAGGCTGCCCCATCAGCTCTACTCACCTTTTTAGTAAACTTGGTAGTTTTGATTTCCACAAACGCAGCGGTCACTGCCTTCAGATAACTGCGCTGGTTGTTAAAGGTGACACGGCCAGACCCTGGAACAAGCCAGACCGCAAGTGTTAGGCTGACCCAGCACCTATGGCAGGAACCAGTGGAGAACAAGAGGGAGCTGCTGCCAGCACCACCCCTTCCCCTGGTGCAGTTCAGCTGCTGGCAGGGAAGCAGCTTTTGCAGGGAGACTGTATCCAAGGCCTCTGTGGCTCTGCCTGCCTCCTTCCCCAGGCAGTAACAAAAGCACAGCAGGCAGCCAAGAGCAGAAAGGCTTTTCCATGGACACCTCTGGGTTGGTTAAGATGTGAGCTTATGGGTGGCAGCGCTCCCAGGAGGACCGGCAGCAGCCAGGCAGAGGGAGGCTGCCAGGGCACTGCTGAGGGCAGTGCAGCAACAGGCTCCACGCCTGCACCTGAAATAAGCCGATGCTGAGACAGCTCAGCAGCTTTTATTTTAAGCCTCCCACTCATCCCGGAGCCTTGCATTTTGCAGCTTCATTGTTAGTCGGCAGCATTCCTGCACCACCCGCTTCCAGCAAGTTTTGTTAAGCTCCAAGAAAACATATCTGTGCTTACCTACAAGTTTTTCCTCTGTGTAAGGGGAGCTTTGGCTGTTACAAGACTGTCCTGCATTCCAGCCAATTGCCAAAGCTCAGCTCACCACTGACAGCCACAGTGCAAAGCGTCACCCAGAACCCACCTACTCCTCTCCTGTAGCATCATGCAGGACACAGGCTGGAGGCTCTGGATCTGGTTCAGGGTTACACTGTGTACGAGGATTGCAGCTGCACTCAGGGGATCCTTCCTTTAAGAGAGTTAATTCCATCTCCTAGTGGGGCCTCCTGAAAGCTGTCTGGGCAACTGCTTTCTCTGTTGACCAGGATCAGCTGGTCTCAAAGGCAGCTCCTCATAATTACAGAGAGCGATTTCTCACAGTACATGCCTCCAGCAGGATCATCCTCTGCCCAAGATGATTCAACACCAGGCAGGTTACACACAATGGTCTTCCCCTGAGGAGCCTTCTGCCAAGCCAGGGCCAGCAGTCAAGCAAGCCTGAGGCAGCATCTCAGCACAGGAGATGCTTCAATCGACACAAACAAAATCAGGGTACCATTTAGTTACCAAAATTGAGTTCATATTGCTGCAACTTTAAGACAATTTCAAGGGTAAAAGTGCCAGTCTGCTATTGGGAGCCAGAGATCTCACCTACTTGAGGGAGCAACCTGGGCTCTGCATGAAGCCACAGGAGGTTTTAAGGTCATGCTCTAGGACCTCACAGTGCCAGCACAGGGCAGGTTGGTGTGCAAGACTTCATCCGTGGTCATACTAAGAACTTGCTTAAAGTCTCATACTTCATTCCCAACTCCTTGGGACTGTCCCCTCCAAAGCCACTTCAGTGGTAAAGCACTGCAGCACCACAGGCATGTCCTAAACCTCAGCCTTGACCAGAAAAGCCTGAAAGCTGTCTGCTCATCACCATCCTTAGACAACAGCTCTGCACTACCAAATGCTGACATTGTTCCTGCTTGGCAACATGCAGGAGATTCACAGTCCCTTCTTAAGAACATGACTTGCTGCAGCCTGAGCCTGGAAAGCTGGTCCTCATGCTCAAGCTGTAGGGTTTTTCCACACAGACCAGCAATCTCAGTGCTGTCTCCTGGCCCATAAAGCCACCAAGGAGGTACAGGGAACACATCACAACACAGGATGTTTCAGCTCCTGTGACATGAGTGGCAAGTGCTCCATTCCCCTTTGGGAGGCTGTCTCTGCAGGGCACAGGGACAGGGCTGCTCTGTTACTACAGGGGCTGCACTTGTGACCTGCCCCTCTCAAACACACAGCCCTGTCTGGGAGGTGGGACCTCAAAGGCTTCATCCTTTCTACCTGCAAGAGCACAGTAGGTCTATCTGACCAGAGGTCATAGTTCAGGGCAACAGCTTGAACCACAGGCAGCAGACTTGCTGCCTGCAGCAGTCTGT